AGACACCGCCTCGGAGCCAGCCCCACGTGCTTGGCTCTCTCCTGGCAGCAGGGAGGGATCAGGGGGTTCGGGCCCATGTGAAAACGGTGCTGTGCCACACGCTGCGCTCCCAAGGCCGCGCGGTCACCCCCGAGCTCCCACCAGCGCCGAGCCCAGGGCACACACTCGAGAGGACGGTCCCGTTTCCCCGTGACCGCAGGACGTGCGCACACTCACCTCCTCCCAAGACGAGAGTTGGCAGCTCTGCAGAACATACTTCAGGCATTTGCCCACTCCCTCGGGCGTCATGTTGAAGGAGCACATGGGATCCCCGGCGATGGTGTCTGCCCCGAGCTGCAGCACCACTGCCTCCGGGCCGAAGGCTGTGTACGCCTCCGTCAGCACACTGCGGGCAGAAGCGCGACTCGCAGGGAAGCTGGTGGCACTGCCCTGGTCCCTCAGATGCCTCTCAAGGTTTCTGCATTCTCTGCTGCCGTCCCCCCCTCACTAGTTACCCTCCCTCTCCTCCCAGGTAGCCACCACCACCGCCCCGCAGTATGTTTTGCTCTCAGCGTGCCAAGGAAGGTAAAAGCACCACTGAAAACATGGGGGAGGGGGCTCCAGTCCCGATCCTGCCCGGGACGCGACTCTGCACAAGCAGAGCGTGCCCCAGGGACTTGGCATCCAGCCCTGGAGCTGCCACTCTGGCAGAACTCAAACTGCCCATCCCAGGCTGCGCTCGTCTTCCCAGTGTTCAAGACCTCAGGCTTCCCGGGAAACCAGTAGGTAGTGTCACGCGTGGGGCCTTGCCCGGCGGCAGCTATTAGCAAGAATGCACTTTGATGGGAGCCCGTGCCACCCACTCCAGAAACGAGCGGCAGCTGTCTGCCACACCACCTTGGCAGCAGGACTTCGGCCGCTCCAACAAATGCCACTGGACACGCCAGCACGCAGGGCAGCGAGCGCAAAGCACGCGTGCTCCCCAGCACCAAAGGCAAACCTTGTCCCGGTTATCTGCACCACCGTGCTGCAGCAGATGTGCTCCAGCCGCCTCCCCAGCTCCACTCCCTTCTCTGGACACACTCCAGTCCCTCTGTGTCCTTCTTACCGTGAGGGGCGCAAAGTGACCCCCGGATTCGAGGTGCGGCCTCCCCAGGGCCCAGCACAGGGGCACCGTCCCTGCCTTGACC